GAAGTATGAAAAGAACTTCAGGACTCAATTAAAAGATTAAATTTGTGGCTAAGTACTGAGGAAAGAGAAGAGTGGTCAACTAAAGTTATAGGAAATATAGTTAACAGAATACCAGAAAACTCGCCAAATCTTGAAAAGGAGAAGAATACTAGAAAACTCCCCAAATCTTGAAAAGGAGAAGCCCAACTAGATACAATAGGCTTTTAGAACACCTAACAGACCAAATCAGAAAAGAAGCTGTTGGAGAACAGCTGCCAACTGAGAATACTATATCCAGCAAGGTTTTCATTTAAATGAAGGACAAAAACTATGACAAAAACTAAAACAATTTATTACTGCCTAGCCAGCACACCAGAAAGTACTCAAAAACATGCTGCATACAGAAGATCAACATGAACATGAGAGAGACAGGGAAAACAGAGATCCTACCGGATGAACAAATAAACACAGGAAGAACAGAAGAGACACAACATCACAATTGGAGGTAAAAAAATAGAATCTAGCACATACTTCTCAATTCGAACAATCAAACATATAGATTGGATAGTTGGATCAAAAGGCAAGATCCAACATCTGTTTTCTATAAAAAACACTGAACACATGCCATCTTTCTGGGAGTCACACTCTTATAGATAGGGCCAACTGTTTTACCATTGTGATCAGAGTCTTAAGCTAACTTCCTCAGGGAGAAATAATGAATACACATTAATACATTTCACTGATTAAGAAAGGAATATATCCTATGGTACGAATCACAGACAAACTTCAGTAGTATGTATGTGTATTCTCTAGATTCTATCTGATGTCTTTTCTTGTTGATCTGTGTAAGAAATTATCCCTAGGAGTACTACTTTCTCAGTGTTTTATTGTGCACAAGGAACCCTAGGGATTAAGTCTATCTTATTTGCTAACTTGTAAGGCAAACTGATCCAACTAGTTCACCTTAGGTATGCTTTTGGAAACAACAAATAGGCTTTTGAGCCAGATTTAAGTCTTTTTCTAATTAGCAGATGATCTACAACCAATTATATTTGTTGTAACATATTTCTCCACTCTCATCTTTTATAATTGTGTATACACCATACTGTGTTTCTTTTTTATGTATATCATTTGCTCTATTTAAAGGATTTGGAGGAATTAGTTTTCTATTGCTGAATAAACATCACAAATTAGCAGTTCTGTAGCTTGAACTGGTGCAATATGACTGGGTTTTCTGCTTAGGCTGAAATCATTGATCTATCCTTACACCAGCTATACTGGCTTATCAGGTGTCAGCTGAACTCTCATCTGGAGTTTGGGGTCATCTTGCAAGCTCATTCCTGTTTTGACAGAATTCCTTGTAGTTGCATACCTGAAGGATTCATTTCCTTCTTTGCTGTTGGTAGGGGCTACATTCAGTTTGTATTCCTTGCCATGTAGTCCTACCTATCTTTTTCATGCTTCCTATTAACACTTTGTTTTATAGAGCTCCTCTGATTAGGTTCATCGGATAATCTATTTGTCACTTAATATATCAAAGGTGTGATATTTTGTCAGCTTCACATTCCAATGATTTAGAGCAGGAATTCTTTTATCTTAAAAATAACTATTCACATACCACAAGATGATTTACATATCATAAAATCTGCCATTTCAAAATTTGTTAGAGATGTACACCCTTACTCCTAAAGGAAACCTCATACCTATTAGCAGTTACTAGACTCACTCCTCTCCTATCAGCCTCTAACCAGTAATCTACTTTTAGGTCCTACAGATTTGCCTATCCTGGATATCTCATATGAATGGAATTATACATATAGATATAACTGTTTCGCAATCATTTTTTTTTTCCAAACACAACAGTAATACACTTCTTTTTATGGCTAGTTTTCTATCATATGTACATATCACATTTTGTGTATTCATTCATTAGCTGATGGACTGGGTTGTTTCCACTGACTTATCAATAATGATAAAATATTAGTGTACAAGTGTTTTGTGTGTAAACACATTTATATTTACCTTAGAAAGATTAGAAATGAAATTGCTTAGATTGTGTGCTTAGATTTTTGAGGAAGGAAGATGGGCACCAGTTGTTCACCCTTGTAATCCTAGCTACTCAGGAGGCTCAGCCCTGACGATTGCAGTTCAAAGCCAGCTTGGACTGTAAAGTCTGAGACTCTTATCTCCACTGAACTACCAAAAAGCCTCAAGTGATAGGGCACTAGCCTTGAGCAAAAGAAGTTCAGGGATAAAGCCCAGGCCTGACTTCAAATCCCAGGACTGGAAAACAAAATAACTTTTGAGGAAGGGTCAAATTCTTCGTTTCCCTGCTATTTTATATTGCACCAGTAGGTACAATTTCACATCTTAGTCATTTCGACTTAGACATTTACTATGTCTATTTTCTTAAATATGGCCAGGCTAATAGGTGTGCATTTCAATATTAATTTAGGAATTGGATTAATTTGTCAATTTCTGCAAAAGAGACAGGTGAGGTTTGACAGTAATTATAGACTCTAGATGTGCAGAACAATTTGGGGAGAATTATTTTAATACTAACTCTTCTAATCCATAAACATGGAATGGCTTCTCATTTATTTTGGTGTTTTTTAATGTTTTTTTTTTTTTTTTTTTTTTTAAATTTTATTTTATTGTAAAGCTACTATACAGAGGGTTACAGTTACATGAGTGAGGTAATGAGTACACTTCCTCTTGAACATTGTTACCCCCTCCATTGTTTTCCCCCTACCATCCCCTCCCTCCCTCCCTTCCCCGAGGTTCTTTTTTTTTTGATTGTGATTAAATGATTACATAATTTCAAAGTCACAAGTTCATTCTAACTTCCCTGGAGCAAATTGTCTACCACAGTTTTAATGTTTTTTATTAAAGGTTCAAACATGGTATTTGATATTTTTGCTCATTGGCTGGCAGTAGGTTGGAGCCATGCCTCCAAACTCTCCTTTAATGTTTTCAAGTCTTTTGTTGCTTTCAGTGCACAAATCATGGGTTTCTTCTGTAACGAATTTCTATTTTATCCCTTTAGATAACAATAGTAAATAGAACTGTTTTCTTAATTTTATTTTTACTTTTCATAGACTTTTTAACAAAAGCACATCATCTGCAAATAAAGACACCCTTGCTTCTTCCTGTATAATTTGGATATCTACTTCATTTTCCTTTCTAACTGCCTTGGTTGGAACTTCTGATACAATGTAAGAGTGGATTTTTAACAATAAATGTATTTTCTGCCATCTATAGATAGTTGTACAAGCAAAGTTTCAATTCAACATGTCATTTCATGTGTAGGATAAGTCTTAACCAGTGTCCTTCCATCATTCTCCCCTGTCAAGAGTGGATTCTTATTATACGAGGATAAAATATTATAGGGCTAAGATTGTTGGTGTTGACACCTGGGAAACTGTCAGTTAAAGTTCCCATTATTCTCTGGCCAAACTGCTAGAGCAAACAAAATGTTTTATAATGACTATGTGCTTTTCTTTGGGGAATCTGGAACTTTGTATATGATAGGTAAAGGTGTCAACTGGAGTGACTGCTAATAAAAGATTTGGACATCTAGGCTCAGATAAGCTTCCCTAGTGAAAACATGTCATAACATTCTGCAGGAGGAATTAAGCATGTCCCAAGTGGTTGCACTGGGAATTTCTGAAAGTTTGTACTTGAATTTCTTGACTTCTTCATGTTCTGTTCCTTTACAGCCAAAAGTATGACTACCCACTCAGTTCTGTAAGCCTAGAAAATCATAAAACTTGGTGTGGTCTTCTAGACCTCTGGCATGTTTTAATTTTGTTTCTCATATGAAGGGAAAAATGTCCAGTCTCTCAACATGATGTTAGCCATGATATTTTCACAGATGTCCTTTATGAGGATGAACTAGTTCTATTCTTTTAAGTTTTTCTTTTTCATAGTTAACATTACGAAAGGGTGTTGGATCATGTCAAGTGGATTTTCTGCATCTATTGAGATGATTATGTGGATTGTTTATTCTATTAAAGTTATGTTACATTAGTTTTCAATATGAAACTACACATTCCTTGGATAAATCATACTTGTTAGTGAACTTCTATTACAGAGAGACTATTAAATCACAGTAACATGAATAACTTCAAATAGTGCTAAGTGCTACTCTCATGAAAAAGAAAGGGGAAGCCATAAAAAGGAAAGGGTATTGGAAACTACTTGGGAATTGTTTAACGCTCATTTGATCAGGTATCCAAATGATGTAAGGGACATTCAGAGGAAAATGAGTGGAAGCCCAAGGGAACTGCAGAAGTCTTGAAGCAAGAACAAGCTACATGTGTTGTAGGGTTATGGCCTTAACAGCAAGATGGCCACCATGGCGAAAACAGAAAAAAGAGAACAACAGCTCAAATATGGACTTGTGGGTCATGGTAGATGTGGATTTTATTATAATGCCAATGAGAAGGTTTGGGTAGCCATTCTTCTCTCCGGTTCTAGCTAGCTACATCTCTGGGACGTGTTTCTTAACTTCCCAGAAAGGCCGGTCCTCTCTGACCTCCTTTTCCAGGCTGCTAGATTATACTCCTGCCTCCGGCCCCGCCCCTACATAACTTGTCTTTTTCTCTCTTTCATCTTCGGGTCTAGTACAGTGGTATAACATCACTCACTCGATGGAGGTTGGAAGGCAAACTCGAGGTACTGGGCAGTGCGAGCTTGGATCTTTTGGGGATCGCTGCAGGTAGTCCCGGGAAGGCAGGCTGCATCAGTCAGTTCCCAGCTCATTCTCCCGCCCCGGGGTGTCAAGGTCACTGCCTTGACTGCGGACACCGCTTTGCCCAGCATCCGCGTGTCCTTTCGGGCCCAGGAGGGCAGGGTGGGCGAGGGGAACCCCTCCCGGCTCGGAACACGCTCGCAGGCAAACCCCCTCCCCGCCCGGCACGCACCCGGCTCCCCTGCCTTCCCCATTCAGCCACCAATTCTCCGCGTCCCGGTCGCCTCGTCCCTCCCTCCTCCGTCCCAGGCTCGCCGCCGCCACTCACCCAGAATACGGGTGACGCCCAGGGTCAGCTTCTCCAGGTGTGGCTTGCTGTTGTTCAGCAGCGGAGGCGACGCGTCCTCCATGGCTCGAGTCCCAGTTCCGCGCGCGGCCGGGAGAGCCAGGAGGACCCGTGAGGAAAGCCGGCGGGGAGGGGGAGACTGGAGGGCCCGTCCCCGCCTCAGCGTCCCCGGCCGTCGGGCTCAAGGCATGCTGGGAGTTGTAGTTCTTCACGCCTGAGAGCTGGACGGGTTGGGGATGGGGGCCCTCGGCTGGCCCGGCAGCAGCAGTTCGGTGGGGCACTGGTTCCCACGGTCCGGGGCTCTACTCCACACCACACCTCCGCGACCCGGCGGGGCCTTCCTCCGGACTCTCTCTCCTCGCCGCGGCCGGACGCGTAAGCGAGGGCGGGTCTCTGCGCCACACGTCCAATTGGGACCGATCCTGAAGTCAGGGGCGTGGCGATCCCGGCGCAGCGCCCGGAGTGGCGGTTGTTTCAAGATGGCGGACGTGGCGGGCCCCTCCCGCTCGGGCGCCCCGGCGTTCTGGAGTCGCGACAGTATCCTTTGCCCTGACGGGCAGGGGGCGCCGGCGCCCCTCGGGGGCGGCGAGGGGTGGGGCGGTCGCGTAAACCTGCGCGGACGGGAGAAGAGCGGTGCTGACCTTGGGGTCATGGATGTGCTCTGCCCACTGCTATGTAGGGGCCGGGCTCCAGCGCCCCGCGTGGGTAGTGGCGTCCCCAGGCCAGGATTCCAGGTGTGGGGGCGCAGGGCTCTGGGCCCTCGGCCCTCCACGGTGGTGAGCTCTGGAGAGATGGCCCGGGGCCGACCCTCCCGCGGGTACTCCAGGTCCCCTCAGTGTGTGGCCTGAGCTTGGGGAGGAGCAAGAGTTGGGTGTTGGCTGGATAGGAAACCTTTTTGACGGGAGTTAGGATGAGCCTTAGGCGGTGGGTGTTGGGAGCGTGTTCGGACCTTGCTGGAATTGCGGGACCCTTATAGTGATGCATTTTCACACACCGGGTCTTTAGGGAAGGTGTGGGGCCTGGTCTCTCTGGGACGTGTTCTTTGCCTGCTAGTGAGGGAATACAGTGTGAATCATCCTGCCTGGAAGTAATGTCAGCCCAACATGTAGGCTGTGGGGTCACCACCAATGACAGCCCCGTGATGTTATTTATTCCTGGCTCCGACTCTGTGATGCTTATAACTCAGGGATTCTTTCCCTTGATCTAGTGGACTTTAAGAGCCTACAGTAATGTTCTTGTTCACTAGAGGAGCATTATTTGGAAGACAATTTAATCAGTGTTACTGCTTGAATGCTTGCTAGGACTGGTGATGGCATTGTTTGAGACACTGCTTTTTGCCATTGGCACAATCACTTTGGACAGTCTAATTTAGCTCCCAGTGAAATTTATCAAATTGTATTGCTAGTTTCCTTTATCTAATTACTAGGATTAGAGAACCGTGTGTGTAAAGAAGAAAATTTTCACATTCTGTGCCACCGGGTGTTTAGTATTACTACTTGTCTCCGATAGGTTGACAAGAAACAACTGAAATTTGGTACATACACTGTGGATGCAAGCACACTGGTGTACCGTGGAAATTAAATAATATTCCTTTTACCCATCAGTAGGAATGAGGATATATGTATTAGGAACAGTTGGGCTGAATTAGGAAATCAGGAGATTGGGATGAATCCTTATGAAGCACTTCCTCTGCATTGATAGGATTTTGAGACAGAGAAGACTTTTAAAGATATTAGCTCATAATAATTAATGATAATGTCCTGATGTAAAGATTGCATGGTAGGGAGTTGGCATTCAGTTACAGTGGGACTGAGTAAGTTAATTAACAAGCCTGTGAACAAATCCATGTCGTTGATTTTAGCACCGTATTCATGTAGTTACATCCTTCTTATTCATGTAGAAGAAGTATATACTCTCTATCTCAATAGGAAAAGGTCAAATAGTATGTATAGTATTGAAAAAAAATTCCAGTTCTTCACCTACAAAAATAGAGACATGTGATTGGAAAAATGCTCAATCCTAGAAGTTTCCATCATGAGAGGGCAGATTATCTATGAATGTCATTTTTTTCTATTAGTCTTATGAGTTATACACCTTCTCTGCAGTATGACTCAGTAATGCCATTTTATACAAGGTATGTCTTAGTACTTAATCTGTAAAGATGAATGTGCCACAAAGTTTTTTTGGTGGGTTAGATCTTCCAAGAAAATATACCCCTTTAGTTGTAAATTGCTTTCCTTCATCATAATTCTTAGTAATATCTGAAGTAATTATTTTTCCTGTAGAATCCAATTTTGATTGCTTAAATTCACCAAAAGCAGGTATCATTAACAATATTAGTAATCGTATTAACAAATATGAATTAGAAGAGACACAGTTAAGACATTCTGGTAACATTTTTCTCTGGAATTAAGTTTTTGAATAAAAATAGGTGACAACTTTGTGTTGATGTAAAAGATAATTTGCTACCGCAAAATTATATGGTCAATATCTACCGCAAAATCTATGTGGTCAATAATAATTATATATGCTTGTATTTCTGGTGGGTGATAAAAAAAAAAAACTTTCAAGGGTTAGAGTGGGCAGTACTGTGCTTATTTTCTTCAAATATTTCTTCTTCTTGACTACTTTTGCTCTGAGTTGCTAATTACTAATTGAATTCTTGGGATTTTGATTCATAGCAGCATTAAAGGTGTGTATAACTCACTGTATGTGTCTTTTGGGGGCACTTCTATGAAAGAAGTCAAAGTAGAAATAGGTAGCATATTTAATCTAAAGTTGGTCCAATGTACATTTGGCATATTAACTTATATTTCTTTGATCTCTCCATAAAATACACATTTGTTGGGAAATTCTTTATAACAGGGTAGTTTTAAAAGGGATTTTTTAGCAAATGCTAGAAAACTTGCTGGACAAATTTTAAAAGAGGTGCAACACTTGTAAATGTTTGAGTTTTAAGATAATGGAACTATGTGTTATTAGAAAGGATAAGTCAGATGGAAGTAATTTTCAGCATTTTCTTATTTTAAAAATATTTGTTGAAGGCAGTTTATTTAGAGGTTTTTCCTGTTTGACAAAGAAATTGCTATTGGTATAGTTGGAATAGATTTTAAATAAGTATTCTGAATGAGACATAGAACACTGAAAATTATTGATCCGTAATCTCATAAAATTGAGTATCAGTTTCATTTTTTCATAGATAGTTTGCTATGAACCAAGCATTCTTTTATGGTTGGAGATGCAAAATTGAATATGAAAGCTAAAAGTGGTTATCCTCTTGGCACTTAGACTTAAGTGAGATAAAAGTCACAAATAAACACATTACATGTATAATAATTTTAGGTACTGTAGAGAAAATTAAAGCAGGATAGGGGCAAGTGATGAGGGGTAGATGTTTTACAAGAAGAGAATTTTGCAATTTTTAAGTACCTACATGATTAGTAAATAAAGGTTTCATATAGCAAATGGCATATGACCAAAGAGATATGGAATTTAACTGTGAAAATATAGGAAAGAGCTAACAACATAGAATAAATCATAAATGCAAAAATTCTGAGGCAGGAGCTTGTGTAGCCCATTAACAAACTGAGAAAGCCAAGGGCGAATAAGGGGAAATTTCCTTGCCACAAATGAGATCAGAGAGGTAACCAGAATAGAGGGATCAGATCTTGAGCATTTGTGAATACTTTGGCTTTTACTCTGATTGAGGAATGACATCTTTAAAATGTTCTTTCTGACCACTGTGTGAAAAATAGACTATTGAGGAGTTACAGATAGAAACAAGAGAACAGTTATGAGAGGAACTGATGGTAATTGAACTGATGATGTTGGTGAGAAGCCTTTGGACATTAGGTGTGATTTGGAGGTTATAACAACAGAATTTTCAGAGTGTGTGATGTGAAGACAAACAGGAAGATTGAATTGTCATTTAGTGAGATTGGAACAGATTTTAAGATAAACTGTTAGGGCTTCAGTTTTGGACAGTTGAATTAGAAACAGTTTCTTCTTTGGCTGTACTGGAGTTTTGAACTCAGGACCTCATGCTTGCTAGAAAAACACTCATCATTTCAGCCCTTCTTCTAGTTCCTTTTGCTTATTATTTAGATAAGGCCTCAATTTTTCCCAGGTTCATTTTTCATCTCAAACTTCCTAACTCCACCTCTTAGTAGTTTGAATATATATATATATAGGCAGACATGAACCACCAGTCAGATCTTTGAGATATCTTTTATGAAGCTAAGTGATAATGTCAGGAAATAGACTTCTTTTCAAGAGTATTTTGATAGAATTCAACATGTTTGTGTTTTTAAAATCCTGAGAATTGAAGATGATCATCAAGAAGATGAGTATGTAGAGTAAAGCCGAAGGAATGAGCCCTAGGAATGTTGCAAAAAAATCCAAGCAGGAATTACTAGAATAGTATGAGGAAAATTATGAGTATGTGCTATCTTTGCAACTAAGAAAAAAAGATGTTTTAAAGAGAATTGATATTTATGTCAAATACTATCAATAGATCAGATACAAAAAAACCTAAAAGCCGATTAATGGATTTATTAGTAAAGGACATTAAAACTTCTCAAAATTGTGGTCTGGTAAATCAGAAGCTTGATTGGAGTAGGCTTAAGGCTGATTGGGAGGAGAGGAAAGTGAATGGCTCTTGTGAAGTTTTGCCATAAAAGGAGCATAGTATTCTATTAGAGGCTTAGGAGATTTTCAACCCTCAAAAACTGCATTATCTTGATAGGAAATGTACTCATTACCTTATCATTTAACTGTAACCCCTCTGTATAGTATTTTTACAATAAAAAACATATAAAAATTGCATTATTATATTTGAGTGCTTAGGGAAAAAGTTTAATAGGAAAAATTATTGACTCAGGAGAAATGATGATAATATTAGAAGCAATATCTTCAGATAAAAATAATTGAGTTGTGTATGTCTATATGTTTGTATGTAATGAGACTGCATCAACTTTGGACAGGAACATGAACAGTTTATCTGTAGCAAAAACGGGGAGTAGGCACAGGTAAAGGCAGGAGTTAGATATGCTGATAGTGGCATAGGACAGGTCTTTACAATGTTTTCTTAAAGAAATTGGAGCTAGGTATTTAGCTCTGTGATAGAGTACTAACAGTGCCCTGGATTCAGTTCCTATTAATGTAAATAAACCATCAAACCAACAAAAAAGAAAGGAGAGGCAGAAGGGAGACAGGGCAAACAAAATTACCAACTGAGAATAAGGAAGATAGAATTTATGTTAGATTTGAGGACAGAGGAAAACAGTGAGAAATATTTGATTGTGCTTTTAAATCAAAGTGTAGCTGTGTGAAGTTCCAAGTCTCCACTGAGTGAACCTGATTACCTGCTGGGAGTGTACCTTTGTAAATAAACTCTATTATGTTAGTCTTTCCTTAGGTCACCTTTGGAGAATACATTGAGAATTCTTATTTACTAAAAGAAAAAAAGAAATAACCTTTGGGGTTGGAGGTGTGGCTTAGTTGGTAGAGTGCTAGCCAGTGAGTGAAAGCATTAGGTACTATGTTCAAGTCCCAGTCTCAGACCTAAAAAAAAGAATTATTCAAAAGCACTGTGATAGGGAATAAATCCTTGTACTGCTGTGTTGAATTTTCTCCTGTATTTTTTTTCCAAATACATTACAAACATTTATAGAGTACTTCAGTTGAGTATAAGGCCCTATGCTGGTCCAAAAGGATATAAAAGAATGAAATAGCTTTTGTTGTTGAGGAGCCTGCATAATTTCATTTCCAAAGACTATTTTTAGATTGGGTGTTGGTGAATTGAATTGAATTTGGAAATTCAATTTCTACTTCCCTATTAATTGCTCTCAGTTTCTTTGGACTGGTGATTCTGATGTTTTTGTTTACTTGTTGTGCCTCCTAAAACTGTTTTATTGCTGATGTTTGAGGGAATTGAAACATAGAGCTGCCTTATGATCCAGCAATTCCATTCCTAACATTCATCCAATAGAACACAAACAAGGCTTCAATACAGCCACCAGCACAACCATGTTTATTGCAGTACTAGTTACCATAACCAAGATAGGCAATCACTCAAGATGCCCCTTAGGGGATGAATGGATCAAAAAAAAAAAAAGTGGTGTATATACACGATGGAATTTACTCATCCATTATTAAGAATGATATTTTAGCATTGATAAGGAAATGGAAAGACTTGGAAAAAATTAAGTGAAGTAAGCCAGACTCAGAGGAACACAGGTTGCATGGCTTCCCTCATTTGTAGTAGTTAGAATATGCCTATAAAAAAAGTAAGCACAGTTACAAATGAATGAACTGAAGTATAATAGACTCTTAAGTAGAGCTCCAGTAGTATAATTCTTTAAAAAGACTTAGTTAAAATTCTATAATCTTAGTATCAGGAAATGGATATTTGTAAGTTAGGGAGCAAGGAGAGCAGGTGTAGGGGGAAGAAGAGAAAAATACAGTCAAGAATTCATTTTATATACCAAAAAAGAAAAAATAAGGGGAGGGAGGTTGAAGTGTGGTAAAGATGTTGAAGTAGGTGACACATGTAAAAATGCATTATATAAAGTGCTTTGTTTATGGCAAAAAAAATTCAATACATATCCTACAAGATTAAGGAAAGTGAGGGAAGGGATTGGTTGGAAAAAAATGGGTAAGAATGTTGAAAAGGGTGACATTGATCACGATACTATTCATAAACTGTTAAGTGGCAACTCCTCTTTACAACTATTTGAAGATAAGAGCCTATTTAGTTAAAGAAAAGGTAAAGAACCTTGTTATCAGCTTCTGATGCTGCAGAGAGTTGTGAAATAGCAACTGCCAGCTCAGAGACAACTCCAGCTAAATTCCTATTACTTTTGTAGGAGTCTAGGTACTTGTGGTCAGTGTTCTCTGGAATAACTCCATTACCAAGGTTGAAACTGAGATGAAATATATTGTCTTTTAAGACATTAAATCTACACTAGCTTTTCCCAGAATGCTAAACATAATTATTTTTGTATAGAATTCTTAGAAAACATTTTTTAAAAGAACAGAAAACTTAAAATATTTCTAGATTATTTGGGGAAAAACTTACATAGATGCTTCTTGCCTGTACATGTTCTAGGTTACAAATTGTAAGCATATTTGATTTAGACAAACTTCTTAGTTGGTTCTCTTTCTGTAACAATGTATGATCTTAACCTTTCTAAATTTCTTCTTAAAAAAAAACCTCAAAATAGTTCTTTCTTTGGATTTAAATTTTGTCTGCATTTTCAATAATAGGGCTTCTTGAGACATTTCATGAATGCACTGCAGAAGAATAAATATTGTCTTTGTATTTGCATAATTAGTTTGTCCCCAAACAGTGTTTGTTCTTTAAAGGCAAAGCCTGTCTTGAAATTCTGTATATTCTTCATGCCTAAAATAACTTGTCAGTTTCTTAATCATGAACATTGTAATACTTAACTCCTTGTTTACAAAAGAATAGTAACTTAACAGCAGAATGTACAGTATAATAAAGAGTGAATAAAACTGTCTTGGTTAAATGCTTTCTAAAATTTGTATGAAATATAGTCATGATTATCTAAAGATGAACTTTTACATAGTATTGATCTTGCACCATTGAATTCAGTCTCTTTGCTTTCTGGATTTTTTTTTTTTTAAGTAAGTTATAAATTCTCGGGTCAAAATGATGAAGAATTATCACAGTCACAAAGAACAAGAGCAGCATTTGGATATTGGTATATTCTTTTCCTTCACATCCTTCCTCATAGTTTCTGATGAAGAACAATCAGTAGTATATGTTCCAGGTATGACTTCCTGTATTAAAATTTAGTAAGTTTCCTTTGCCTCTTGAGTGCTGGGAGGAAATGAAACAAAACTGTCCAACAGAACATTAAATTGTTTTTTAAACTAGCCCAAAAGTTTAAATATTTTTGAATATTTGAGCAGGTTTCAAATACTGGCTCATCTTATAGGCTGACTGGGCAAGTCACCTTTTAATTAACTTCTAGACTTTTTCAAGTATTAAGGGCAAGAGATTCTTTTTTTTTTTTTTTAATGAGTTCATCATTCATCAGTATTTTTGTCCTCTTCAGGCCCTCTGTAGACAGGATAATGCCCACCCAAAGAGATTCTTTTAAAGTTTTTTAAATGACTAGTAACTACAATTTACTATCCCAGAGTAAAGAGTGAAGACTTCAGCTGGATGCCATTAACTCACTCTGGTAATCCTAACCACTTAGGAGACTGAGATCTGAGGATTACAATTGAAGTCAGACCAGGCAGGAAAGTCCTTGAGACTCTTATGTCCAATAAACTATCAAAAAGAAAAAAATACTTAAAAGATCTGGAAGTGGAGCTGTGGTTTGAGTGGTAGAATGCTAGCTTTGATCAAAAAGAAGTTCAAGGACTGTGCTCAGAGGCCTGAGTTCAAGTCCTAGGACCAGCACAAAGAATGTAAGAGACAAGACAGGGGGGAGGGAGAGAGAGAGAGAGAGAGAGAGAGGAAGGAGACAAGACAGACACACAGTGTAAGAGAGAGACAGAGAGGAGAGATAGGGAGGGAGAGTGAGAGTTTGCTAGTTATTAGATGAATAGTAAAATGATATCATTGAAAATACCATAATTAGGAGAAGAACATCTGGTTTCCTCCAAGTTGTCTAGGTATATTATAATTTATTGCTATTAATATTTTTATGTCTTCACAGCATCTTTTACATTTTTCAGTTGTATTATTAAAGTATTTAAAACATTTTTTGTGATTCATTACATCTTGAAAGAGTTTTATGATAAAGTATTAAAATAAACATTTTTTCCTATCAAATACCATAAAATAGAAGAAACTAAGGAAGATTGTTGATGGGGGTGGAAAGGGGTTTTAGAGAAAGAGAAGACATAATTTTGAAATCTTGTTTAATGAAAATCCATAGGAATTTCTACAGAAGGAAATAACAGATCAAGATACAAGTCAAGTCTAAAAGCTGATGGTAAAGTTAATATGTCCAAAGTGACTCATACTTCAATCGATATGGAGTCTTTAAAAGGTGCCGGAGATGCAGTAGGTGAACAGGTCAGTGATTTATTTCTTTTAATTCACTAGTGGTTTTTTTGTTTTTTGTTTTTGTCAGTCATGGGGCCTGAACTCTGGGCTTGGGTGCTGTCCCTCAGCTTTTCGGCTGAGGGCTAGCGCTCTACCACTTGAGCCACAGCGCCACTTCTAGCTTTTTTCTGCTTGCGTGGCGCTGAGGAATTGAACCCAGGGCCTCATGCATGCAAGGCAAGCACTCTACCACTGAGCCACCTTTCCAGCCCCTAATTCACTAGTTTCTATAAGTGCTGAGCAATAAGCATAATTTTTTAAAAATCATTAGGTGATCTAATAAAAGTTTTTAGTAGATTCAGAAACTTTGGGGATCCTTTGATAATGGCGAGTATAAAATAGATATTAGAGTTTGCTACAAAATATATATACATGCATTAAGCCTTTATAAGAAAACATATCATCTTAATATGTTTTTGTTGTTTTGATTCTTTTTTATTTAAGTAGTTGTACAAAAGACTTACCATTCAGCAAATCAGTTTATGAATACAAATGAGTTACCATTCAACAAATCAGTTTATGAATACAAAGCATTTTGATCGATGTCAATATAATTTTTCTTCATCCCTTCAAACCCTTCCCGTTACCTCATTTTGCTTAATTTTGTAGCTTTATGCATTAAGTTTTATGACTATATCCTCCCCCATTTTAGTATCTTAATATATCTCAAGTGATGTACATTTTATGTGATACTAGAAATTCAAATTGTTAAACATTTTTAATTGAGTAGCCTTTATGATTTTGTTCTTATGAGTATGTTTCTTTAAGGATGATCCTTTTGTATGAGAATTATGGTTTAGTAAAGAAAATTAATCATCATTACCATCATTATTATTATTTTCACTTTTTGTAAAGGAATATCATAAACTTGGTTTTTAGAGCCCAGTCATTGATTTTTCCCTCATTTATCTTTGTCTTTATAATAACATGTGCAATGTTCAGTTATGTCCTTTGTGACCTGTGTATTTTACTTTGATTTTTGTTATGTTTTCCCTCCTCAACCAGAATTGATGTCCAGACTTAGAATCCAACTTGTGAGTCAAATCTTCTGGCACATGCATTATAAATAAAGTTTTTATGGAGCCACCACTGTGTTCATTCTTTCATGGATTGTCTGTGGCTGCATTCTTGTTACAGTGGTTAAACTGCTTCAAAGGCTGTACCCACATTCCTAAAATATTTTCTGATGGACTTTTTATAGAAAATGTTTTGTAATCATAATTTATATTCTTGAAGACAATTCTAACGTCTATTTTGTTGCTGATAATCATATTTAATAGTCTACAGCGTTTAGCTGTAGTGGTGATTTCAAGGTTCATCTGTATTGTATTATGTATCATATACTTAATTCCTTTTTTATGGCTGAATTCACATTTGTGTATCCATTTACCAGTTAATGGACATTTCCATTTCCTTTTAAAAAAGGAACATTATGAATAATGTTGCTGTGAACACTTACATACACATTTTTGTGTGGATGTGTTTTCAGTTTTCTAGTTATATTTAATGATTTATATAGTAATTGTATATTTAACCTGACAAAATACCAACAAAATTTGTATTGTGATTATACCAAATTGCATTTGTGCTAGCAATGTTAGACGTTTCCAATTCTCCATGTTCTCACCAACATTTATGTCTATTTTTGGGGTATTGGGATTTGAACTCAGAGCTTTGTACTTGTTAGGCAGATATTTTGTCATTTGAATCATGTTTTAAAGCCCTTTTTGCTCTTGTTATTTTTGAAGTAGGGCTTTGCTTTTTGCCCAAGATAGTCTAAAATATAGTCATTCTATTTATGCTTCCTGCTGTATCTGGGATGGCAGCCAAGTACCACTTTTCTGTTGAAATGGGGTTTTATGAACTTTTCTGCCTAGGCTGGCTTGGAACCGTAATCCTTCTGCTCTCAGCTTCCTATGTAGCTGGATGACAGGCATGTGCCACTGCACCCAGCTGTTGATTGAGATTGAGTTTATGAACTTTGAACCTTCTGAATCGCTATCTTCCAAGTAGCTGGTATTATATCATGAACCATTAGCACCATTCTTTTCTCTACTGAATTACAACGATACACTAGTTAGTCAGACTGTAGAGATGTGCCCTTCCCTTATATCGTCTTTGCTAAACAGTATTCCAAATTTTATGTTTCATTTGTTTTTCTAAATTGGGTCTAAACAAACTTTTATAAAGGACAAGATAGGAAACTCTAGCTTTGGCTAGAGAAGAGATGTTTCAACTACTCATCTTTACCCCTATATAGAATGAAATGAGACGAAATGAGTAAGTTTGGTTATAGTTATATTCTAAAACTTTTTTACAAAACAGGCAATGGGCCAGATTTTTCTGGCATCTGTAGTTTACCAAGCCCTGTCTGAGTAAATACATTTTTGTTTTTAAACACCATTTAGTTTTATATATGTTTGAAACTTTATATCTTTGTTATTTGTATTATAAGTTATTGTGAGATTTTTATGCTGTATGTAAAAAAACTGTTAGATATTAGAGAACCAAAAAAGCAACAAGGAAACAGTAAAGTATTATGATAGTATTAACTGCAAGAAACAATTACTAACTCTAGAGCTGGATGAACAAGCAGAACAAGTTGGAATTACTAACACTTAGAAAATTAGGGAAGGGCTTCTTAACATTGGAACTTGGACTTCTGATGATAAGACACCAGCCTTCCTCAAAAGGCCTGATAGAAGTTGGTTCTTCTAGTGCTACAAGTAATTGCAAACAAATCTCTCTTTTTTAAATCAATATGTCAACACCAACTATTCTTTAAGAATAAATGAGATAAGGCTATGCTGACAGTTAACAGGAAGCAAATATGAGGAAATATGTTTTTTTTCCCCTCTATCAGCCTCTGGTCTCCATCTGGTTTTGTCAACAGTCAAGTGGCAAAGGAGAAATGAAGTTTTTAGAGTCTCGGCTTCAGCATCATAAAGCAGAGCCCAGAAGGATGAAAACTACTAGCACTCAGAAAAAATGAATACCACTAGCATAACAACAAAATACAGCATTCTGTTGTACCAATAGACCATACTTTTGGTACTCTTTTTCAAGTATTTTTCTGTTAATAGTGTCTGTTAAAATTTTTTACCTCTATGCAGGGGTTTTCTTCTATTGTATGTTTCTTTCACCTCACCATTACTGAAATGTCTTTTTATGATTATCATCAGCATAGATAATAGATGATAGGAATACAAGATAATATCTTGTATTGCCAAATCCCACCTCTTCCTAGTTTACTTGGTTATTTCTGTCATTAGCGTTATTGATCCTATATTCTGAAAGATTTTTTTCATCACTACTGTATGCTCTTTATTTTGTTTTTATCTTTTCAAATGCAAATTTAACTTAATTAAAATCAGATTAATTAAAATTAAATTATATATTTTTATTTCTTGATGATTTTTAAGAACTATTTTGTTATTCAGTGTAAGTCTATTGCTATTAGAAAAAAATCATCTAAATTACAAATCTCTGACTTGAGAGACAGATATAATTTCCACGTGAATGTTTTGCTAGCATCTGAAACTGAATTGCTTTAATCCAGTCTCATTTTCTTATCCTTTTCTGTTTTCCTTTCTATTCAATCTTTCCCCAACTTTTGCTGATAACTATTTCAAGGATTCATTTTACTCATCCTTGGTTTGTGGGCTATCTGAAGTAGTTGGATTAACTTCTATGGAGAACTTTTTACAGTACAAAAGGTAGGACAGTATACAGTTTAAGAACACAGCTTGTTTGAATCTCAGTTCTGCTATTTAACAGTTATAAGTGGACAATACATGTACCTTTAAAGTAGAACAGGAATAATCTTTGCCTAATAGCTTGGTTATGAAAATGAAGTGGGATAGTAAATATGAAATACTGAAAATATTCTTGGCATATAGTAAATACAAATATAACAATTATTCTTTTTTTTTTTTTTGTATTGTGAAAATACCATACAGAGGGGTTACAATTACATGGGCAAAATAATGAGTACATTTCTTATCAAGCATTGTTGCCTCCTCCTTTGTTTCCCCTTCACATCCCTCCCCATCCCCCCCCACCAAAGTTGTAAAGTTCATTTTTTGACATAAGGACTTGTACATCTCCAAGTATTCTTTCTTTGACCAAGTATCCTTAAAAATGAACCTTAGCATAATTTGAATGCTCAGTAACTTATTAGTGACTTAGTGCCTCGTCCAGTAACCTTTGTATACCCTTAAAAAGTAGCCTGGCATCAGTTACACCTGTAACCTTATGTAACCTTAGCTAGTCAGGAGGCTGAGATCTGAGGGTCACAGTTTGAAGCCAGCTCAGGCAGAAAAAGCCATAACTCTTATCTTTAGTTAAGCACCAAAAGCTGCAGGTGGACCTGTGTGAGGCTCAAGTGGCAGAGCAACTAGCCTTGAACACAAAAGCTCAAGGACACTACCAGAAGCTGAGTTCAAGTCCCTGGACATCTCAAAACAACAACAACAAAAGCTTTGGAGCTATAGTGTAAACAGGCTTTTAGTTTCTTCCATTAGGACCTTATTATTCTGACATTTACAAAAGAAAAGTTGTTTCCTTAATATTTGTTAGTACTTTAGCAGGAACATCTTCAGCTTTTAATTTCTTTCTGTGTAAAGTCTATGTTGTCTTGTTCATTATCAGTTCCATAGACTGTTTTGAATTCACAATATTTTTAAATGAAACTAGCAGTGTTCCACCAGATAAAAGATATTAAATAAAGCTTATATCCTATACTTATTTACTTATTGTTGGCACTACAGATTGAATTCAGTGCCTTGTGCTTACTAAGCAAGTGCTGTACCACATTTAGCTATGCCCCACTCAGTTTCTAATTTAGCTATATTTCAGATAGGGACTATATTTATTGCTTGGGCCATGTTGGGCCTATGATTCTCCTACATACACCTCTAACAGAGATAAAATTGCAGGTATACCATTATATACAACATTTTTTGTTAAAATGAGTTCTCGGCTAACTTGACCAGCAGGCCTCAAACCATGATTTTCCTGATCTCTGCCTCCTGAGTAGCTAAGATTACAAATGTGAGCCTTGTACCAACTGCTGCCTTCCCAACCCCGCTTTCTTCCTTTCCTTCTTTCTCAAAAAGACTTAAAAGTTGTTTTTAGAGAAAGTTAATCAGAGTATGCTTGTGTTTTAGAATTTGTGCAAGGAAGGAGCAAAGAGTGCATCGTTGAAGGATTTATGTCTGGAAGACAAAAGGCGCATTGCAAACCTGATTAAAGAACTTGCCAGGTAAGACAAATATGTATATGAAATACGTTATTATATAACAGACACAACTCATTTGAGAGCAGAATATTACTAATATGTTTTGAAGACAGTATGTCATTGCTCTTACGAAAGCAAAGACTTAGCAACAGCAACAACAAAAAATGCTTAATTGCCCACAAAAGGGCTACTATTCATTCCAGCACTCACTCCAGTGAACTCATTTCCTTCCACTCATTCCAATCCCTTAAAGGTACTGTTACCTCCCAGTAGTTCTGTAGACTAGGGACCAAACCTTTAATAAGTAGGCCTATGGGAGCTGTTTCTCTAAATCATACCAGCTGGGTGCTGCTGGCTCAAGGCTGTAATCCTAGCTACTGTGGAGGATCAAGAGATTCAAAGCCAGCTCACTCCATCCCTAGCAAAAGGCAAGGCTAGAGGCATGGTTCAAGTAGTAGAGTGCTAGCCAAGTAAGCAACTTGAGCAAGCACCAGGCTCTGAGTTCAGTATTGTGAATTAAGTAGGTAATAAATAACCATAGCAAATATTTTGGGTAGATTCAGTGGAACTATTCAAATACACTGTTCACTTTTAAATTGTTATTTACTACCATAAGCATCTATCTGGGAATGTGCTTGGAATAACTATTACAGTGATATTTTATTGGTAACTTTATAGTTGCCATATTTGTTTTCATTGATTAATTGGTATGATTTAAAAATGAACTCTTCTTTCTGTTCTATTTGATATTTCATTATTATTTATTCAGTATCAAACTCATTAATAATTCTTTTATTCTAATCCACAGAAACAAAATAAAGTAGTAAAATACCTTTTTCTATTTTATTAAAAATAAAATTGAAGCCTTTTTATTTTGAAATAAGTATAGATTCATTTATAGCTGTTAGAACTAATCTAGGAGAGAGAGTTCAGATAGCCTTTATCCATTTTTCACCAGTGGTAATATTTTGGTTAGTTATAATATAGTATCACAGCCAGGATATTGACATTTACAGAATTTATCATGTATGGAGATTGCCTGCATGTATTCATTGTGTATAATTTATATTTGTTCAAATTTTCACATGTATGATTTGTGTATAATCGTCATAGTCAAAATTCCAAACACAGCTACTTTCCTTCCCATCCCATTCCTAATCCCATACTATACTAACCTATTCTCTCTCTAAAATTTTGTCATTTCAAGAAAGCAATATAGGGGCTGTGAAGATGGCTAAGTGGTAGAGTGCTTGCCTTGCATGCATGAGGCCCTGGTTCGATTCCTCAGCATAAGCAGAAAAAGCTGGATGGAAATGGTGCTGTGGCTCAAGTGGTAGAGCGCTAGCCTTGAGCTGAAGAGCTGAGAGACAGGCCCAGGCCAGGCCCAGAGTTCAGGCCCCATGACTGACCAAAAAAAAAAAAAAAAGCAAGCAATATAAATGGGATCATGTAATATGCCATTTTTTGAGATCAACTTTTATTCATTCCACATAATTCTCTATAGACCCATCCAGTAGTTGCATATTTCAGAAATTTGTTCATTTTTATTGTTGAGTAGTATTCCATGTGATAGAAAGATCACAGTTTATAATTTCATCTGTTCAAGAACATTTGCTTTTTTTAGTTTGTGACAGTTAAAAAATTCAGGTTACTATAAATATTCAAATATAGATTTTTGTGTGAAATTTCATAAGTGCCTGTTTAAAATTTTTCTATAATTTTTATCCTTAGCAATTTCTATGTTAATATCTCATTTTGCTTTTGATTTGTGTTTTTCAATGACCATTGATGTTGGACCCTATATCATGTGCTATTACTCTCTATACCTTCTTTAGTACAATGTCTACTTGTTCATTTTGACTATTTATTTCTATTGGCTATTCCTTTTCCCTTCCTTCTTCTCTTTTTCCTTTTCCTCTTACCCCCCCCATCTCTCTTTCCTTTTCTCCCACCCTCCCTCACTCCTTCCCTCCTGCTTTCCCCTCCCTTCCCTCTTTCCCTTCCTTCTTTGCTTGGAAATGAAAGATTAAATTTCACTTTGAATAGATAAAAGATGTTCTATTTGAGAAAAGCACATTTAGATGTATTTAATGTTTGTGAATAAACACTGTTTTATATTAATATTCTTTGCTTTACAAATCCATGTCATATGAAATAAGACAAACTGCTTGCTGCACTGTGTTCTGCTTGCCTTGCCTGGTATACTTTTTTTAATCACTAGAAATTTAGTTAATGGAGGATAATGATGAAGTATTAATAGAAAATGATTAGGAAGCTGAAAAGTTTTTAAAGTTGCCTTTTAAAAGTTTAAAAGGACTAGCATGCTCCCACTTGAGTGACATTTCCAATCCAGTTTTCTTCATTATCTTTTCAGGAAAAAAAAATAGCTATGAAGTACTATGATTTAGTTGTGTTAAATACCAAACCAAATGAGGAAAAGTGTGAGGAGATTCAGAAAACATGTACTTCCATGACATTCAAGTGTAGTATACTTGAAGAGTTTCAGCTCTTATGCAAATCTACTGGTATTATTTCAGGGGAAAAGTCACTTAGCATGCTGGGCATCCATCCTTGGCCATTGAGAAGCATCTTTTCAGAAGAAAATAATATTCAGTAGTGATCAGCATAACATACAGAACAAATAGCACATTCTTTTTTTTTTTGGGGGGGGGGTGGTCCAGTCGTGGGGCCTGAACTCTGGGCCTGGGCGCTGTCCCTCAGCTCTTCAGCTCAAGGCTAGCACTCTACCACTTGAGCCACAGCGCCACTTCCGGCTTTTTTCTTTTTTTAATGTGGTGCTGAGGAATCGAATCCAGGGCCTCATGCATGCAAGGCAAGTGCTCTACCACTGAGCCACCTTCCCAGCCCCCAAATAGCACATTCTTTCAGTTACAGAGTAACACACCATATAAATGTAAAGTGCTAAATCTAGCTTTTTGTTAATAGTGTCTTTGAGGTTTAAACTTTGTTAGAATAGCAACATCTGTAGTTTTAAAAAAAGGAAAGGGGGGATCAGATTCTAAGCAGTTTTACATGGGGAAACTATAAATGTCCCAATTACGAGTAGCCTACCTGTATCTGTTTGATCCTCTCTAGTTAATATTGTTATTGATGGTAAGTATAAGAATGAGAAAGATACCTAAAAGATATATTAATGATTCTAATTGAAAAATAAGTGTGAATAAAAGATATAAAGTTTAGTACTGAAATAATAGGTTAAAAATAAATTCAAACAGTAAAAGACAATTGTGAGAAGAATAGGATACTACATGTCTGATTGTGTTAAAGTTCAAACCAAATGGAGAAAAATGTCAGAAAGTTTAGAAAATTTATACATTCCTGTCATGTATACAAGTATATGCGAAGAATTTCAGTTCTTAGGCAAATAGACTTATTATTTGAGGGAAAATTAGAAAGAGAAAGACTTATTGATTAGACCAAGTAGATAAAAAAATTAAAAACATCTCTCATTCATAGTTAACTTTTCTGAATGTTAGCCAGTGAAAGTTGTGCTAGTAGACAAGAAAACATACAGATTTAAAAATTTTATATATGAGTTAGTCTTTGAAGGCCTTCTTAAAAATCTGTATATTCCCAGTGAAGTTTTTCACTTGGGTTTACTATACTAATGAAAGAATAGTATACCAATCAAATAAACTTTACAGACTAATGGAGAACAGATACCATAAAATGAATTAGTAGAAATGTGAATTATTTAATTTGTTGAAGGGAATGATAACAGATAAGATTCAAGTAAATGAGGTTGTTTCCCTAAGGTGTTAGGCATTGAGTTACATTTGCAAGGCTAAGAGGGATACTGATTGATCTTTCTAGGAGGTACTAGGAGAAGAAAATTCTTTTTGAAGTTGCTTTATTAAGTGACCTCACAAAATCTTATACAATAAAATTAATGAGTTATTCATATAGATGGGAAAAGCAGTGTAATTTATGCGGATTTGAAAAATGAATGGCTTGTGAAATATTAATTTGTACAGAAAGATTGTGACAGTTCTGTATATATGCATTTGTGTATTTCACTGAAACTTTGAAAACGGACAGGGGTACCTTAGGCTAATATATAGACTATAGTGCAGACTTGATCTTTAAAGGAAAACAAGTTTTAACATTTTAAAATAATCTTAGCAACAGTTGCCATGTTTGATGTATAGAGCTGTGGATTTTTTTTAATGTTTTTTATTGTAAAAATACTATACAGAGGGAATACAATTACATGAGCAAGGTAATGGGTCCATTTCTATCAAGCATTGTTGCCTCCTCCTTTGTTTTAAGAAGCCTGAACAAAATCCTCTACTGTTTGATGCCCTATGCCCCTACTATCAAAGAATTCATTATTCCCCAGAGAATACTTGTGCAATAACTCATTTAAATTTGTAGGCCCAGATACTGTCATTTTTTCCAGAGGACATTTTGCTATTTCAACTTGGTATTTCTCAGAAGAAAAATAGAAAATGTTGTGCCATTAGTTTCTTGTTGTAAAAGCAAGTAGATTGTTATTTTATATTTATTCCTTTTATTTTTAATTATTATAACTTTTTGTTTTAATTAAATGTATATAGCAGTACACAGTAGGAAAGCGAGGCTTTACTTTTTCAATTTAAAAAAACTTCCCATTTCAATGTGTGTGTGTGTGTGTGTGAATGAGAGAGAGAGAGAGAGAGAGAGAGAGGAGGGGGGAAGAACTCACTGGACACTTGTGGCTCACACCAGTAATCCTTGCTAATCAGGAGGCTGAGATCTGAGGATCTTGATTGACACCTAGGTAGCAAAGTCCATGAGACTCTTATCGCCAATAAACCACGCAGTTATGGCTTAAATTGGAGAGCAGTAACCTGGAGCAAAAATGTTCAGGGACAGCTCCCAGGCCCTGAAGTTCAAGTCTTAGGATTGGCACTAAAAACAAAAGTGAAATTGTCTAGCATATAGTAAAATATTTTAAGATTGACATTAACATGCTCTAAATAATGGTATGAAGATAAAAATCAAATAAAATATTTTAATGAAAAATTAAATCTATATATCCTAAGTTGGAACATTTTTCTTTTCTTTGTATTATAATACAGCACTCTGTCCTGTGTAGGTCTTTTAAAAAAAATCACATGTATTTTGTTACTAAGGTGAGGAAGACCTGTTTATGAGAGTAAATTAAAAACTAAAGCAGAATCTCTAAAAAATTCAGCATACCTTTGCAAGAAACTGTTTCATAAAATCATAGCTATAAACTGTATTTGTTTTTACTTTGACAGGCTTTTCTTTTTTCTTCATTTTTGTATTTCAGAGTAAGTGAAGAAAAGGAAGTGACAGAAGAACGACTAAAAGCTGAGCAGGAGTCATTTGAAAAGAAAATCAGGCAGTTAGAAGAACAGAATGAACTGATCATCAAAGAAAGGGAAGATATCCTTTTTGAAAGTCCTCATTTTTTAACATGCAGGAAGTTTGACTCTTCTGTGAAGAAAATAAAACTCTAGAGAAATAATTGTTCTAATTTATAACAGGGAATAAATCTGCATGTGCTGCCATTTCTAGGCAATCAGAAAGACACTTAACAGCATGTGCTGTTGCTTCCTTTGTGCTTGATAAGGCCACCCAGCTGTTCTGCTGCTGTTATTATGCTGTGAAGCACATATTTGTCAACTAAAAAAGACAATAAGAAATTTGGGCATTAAAATGTAGAGTTGGAACCTTATTAAATTCTGTTCCACTACTGTAATTGAGCCTGAACCTCCTTGTAGTTGGTATTCTTTCTAGTCAAAGCTTTGATAGTTCCAAGGAATTGTCTGAAATCATAAAAATTTAAAAATTGTATTTGTAATGTTTAATATTATAATTGGTAAATGTTTATACTATAGCATACATGAAACTACATTTTTCTAATGGAACAGAAAACTATGAGGTTTAAAACTACAGAGGGGTCTGAGTGAGTGTGTGTGTGTATGTGTGCTTCAAATAGTACAATGTAAGACAGTAAATTAAACTTAAAAGTTGTGCTTCAAGGGATATAAGAGTTAAAATAGTGACTAAATTTTTTTATCTTTAGTTGTACAAAGGGGTTTTAATTCAACATGTAAATTTATGAGTATAGGCCATCTTGATCAATGTCACCCATCATTCTCTCTCATCTCTCCCAATCCCACCTATTGCTTCAAGTTATTAGGTTCCATGATTTTTTTTAATAGGCTGAATTAGTTTAACTATGGGTGTTTTATTCACTAGTTTTGATTTAGAATTTACTGTCCCGAAGTTAGGGAGATGAATCTGCTGGCTAGCCTAGTGAGTATGTGAATGCTTAAAAGAACCATTGTCCTTATTGGACATTTACTTTATAATAAATTCTTAAAAACCTACAGGTGACAAAAAGGGTCATATATTGACATGATGGTGTAAACTATACTAGAAAAATGAAAGCTTAAAATTAATTAGGTTGAAAACACAGGACTACATCCATTTAAAAAATGAGTCTGAACTTCTAGTTTTCAAATAAGGTGATAGGAATTACTGTATTGCAGTTCTCAGATTTGATTTGCTGATTAGAACATTAATAAGGCTTATTAACTCCACAGTTATAGGTTTTAGGTGTCTTTCCTTGTATATTTAAAGAATTTAAATAATCATCTCTGGCATTTCTTGGCTCACTTTGACTTTATTGCCCCAAGGATGTTGGCCCTCAGGCCAGCCTGTGTTCTTCCTGCTATTTTCCTCTCCAGGTTGTGGAATGAAGTTTACTCAGAATTCAGAACACACTTTGTAGCACTTTGAAGAAGTGGTAGATTAAGAATCTCTGAATGTTTTTAAGCAAAATTCTAGAAGGCCTTTATTTTTTTCTCACATAGTAAGAACTCTGGAAATAGTCCTTGGTTATTGATTTTGGTGGCTTTTAGTTTTAAGAGCTGTCATCTTTACAATTCCCCTTTTTCTAATGGTTGCTTCAGTTTCTAGGAACCTAATTTGTAGTAAGACAGGAAAAAAAAATGAGAGAAAGTCTAGCAATTTCTCCTTTAAAAAAAAAAAACACATCAAAACCTCATAGCAGTCCTTAATTCCCACTTAATAGACTTTCATTGATGTTTATTGTCCTATACATTATTATGTCCCCATGCTACATTTCTATATATACTGTATTGGTTTAGATACTTTAGAAGTCCTGGCTACAATTGCAGTGGATTATTTCTTGTCTGGTGATAAATAGAAACTTGTGAAGCAAGTTGAGTCTAATTTTAGTAAACTATGATATTTAGCACTGTCCAGGGAAAGATGAAGGCTGTTCTCAATGCTGAAGCAGTTCTAAACTCAGCATAGCTGTGAATGATTTATTCTGGCAGGCAGAGTATTAAAATATGTTGGATTACTGTAGTAGCCCAAATTTTTATGATTTCCCCAGGATTTAACTCAACGTAATACTTCTTGAGCCAAATCCTGTAGAGTGGCAGCTAAATCTAGCCATACCCTTTCTGTATTGTCTATAGTTGCTTTTGTGCTCTAGCTGCAACAAAAACCTTACAGTTCTCCTCCCCTAAACATTTAATCTCTACCATTTTACAGAAAAAGTTTTTGGGGCCTTGATCTCTGTTTTAGATTAAAAAATAAAAAGGAATGTAAATAAAGTAAATGTAAATAAAATAATGAACTCATGGCATAGCTAAGTCTGTTTTAAATTTGATGGCTTGAGCATATTTTCTTTGTGAATGAAATTTGAAGTGAATATTAGAGTATTATCAAAACTTAAAAGAGGTTTGTTAGTATAATTGTTTTAAGGTATTTTTAATCATAAATGATAAGTAGTGTTCGTGGAAATGGTCAAAAAGAAGTAATGAAGAAATGATTTGAAAAATTACTTCCATGGTTTCTAGTTTGAATAGATTGCCCAGATACACATCTCTGTTAACCATATAAACCTGTCAAAGTTTAATATAGATGATTTTACAGTACATAAAACTCTATAAAACTTAGAAACATAAAATGAGGTTGTAATTTAAAACAATATAATTTTAACTACTGGTGCATTTACCTATCATACATAAATGATTCAGATACTTCCATATATATGAAATCAGACAATTTAAGTTCAGTTCATTTTAAAATATGTTTCAGTGTAAGGATTTGTACCCATGAATTGTAACCTTCGTCATTTTAAAGAGATACCAAATTAATGGGAATTTTGTTTTTACGTGTTCTAATAATTTAATTTCTTGATCACTTACACAAACACATGGATGTCTGAGTAAAAAAAGACACCTTACATTTTAATTAGGATCAGGCTTTTTTGAAGGATTACTTTCTACAGAAAATTGGGAGTTTATTAAAACATAACATTTTAAAAATAATTTTCAATGAACAAAAAAGCTTATTTCTTAAAACCTTAACCATTTAAATCAATATGCCATATACAAAGCCAAACAGTGTGATAAACCTAGTGGATGAATGATTGTGAAAAGTGAGAGAGAAATATGAAATTCAACATAACTATAATTTAACCATACTTCTGAAGCACATAGTTGTATAAGATATAATGTGGCAACTAGAAACATTAGAATTTGAACTAATTGTTAATCTAGACCCATATGACTCATATCAATGGTAGTATCGAAGGCTTACAGAAAGAAGTAATCTAATGTTTGCCATTCACTGTTTTAATTAGCATAGTAAGGAAAAATGTCAAGAGAAGGTATAGTAAGCTAAGTCCCATTTTGCACTGAGTTGTTTTCTAACTCCTTGGAAAAGTTATTGAACTTCTCTGAGTCTCTTTTTGAATGTATTTTTTGTTTTTTTGGTTTTTGATTTAATTTAATTTTATTGTAAAGGTGATGTATAGAGGTTACAGTTACATAAGTGAGGTAATGAGTACATTTCTTACCAGTGTTACCCCGTCCCTCATTTTCTCCCACTTTCCCTGCCCTCCTCCTCCCAATTGTAAAGTTCATTTCCCACGTAGTGTCTTGTGAGTATTACTGTTGCATTGGTTCGCCCTTTGTCCTTTGTTTCACCATTTTGTTATTATTGTCCTTCCCTTCCCCAAATCAAATAAACAAATATACAAGACACAGAGTTCCAAAATCAAAAACTGTGACAACAGGAGATAAACCAAAGGGAAAAAAATGAAAGGAAAAAGAAATAACTTCATTCAGTACATAAAACAAAACAAAAACAAATGAAAACCCTTTTGTTTCCATATCTGGGAGTTCATTTTGATTAGTATCATTTCATGTGGTCATACATACATAGCTATTGAGCTATTGTGATCCTCTGTTAGGACAATCCTAGATACGTAGTAATTATTACAAATGAGGGAAACCATGGAGCCTAAGTTTCTTTGAGACTGGCTTTGCTTAATATGATATTTTCCAAGTCTTTTCATTTCCTTACATAGCCAACTAATAATACCTTTTTGATAGGCCTGTTGAAATTCGAAAGATTCTTTATATTGTTTGTGTTAAGGAATCTAGCCGTATCTTCTAGTTAGTATTCATTGAATAAAATATAATATTTCTCATTTCAGGTACTACTAATGTGGATGAGAGTAATTCTTTTTTACTGCTTTTCTTCACTAAGGTTTTGACCATTTTCATTAAGGTTATGCAAATACTTGGGCTGCTTAGAGGCCTAATAGAATGAAACTGATCAGTACTCTATCATCTAGGCTTTATGGAAGGGAAAAAAACCCCAAACCTATCACTTGGTAATATCGTTGGTTACGCACTGCAAAAAAAATGTTGTATGGCTTTACTTTTTGTTTCTGTTGTTCTTTGCAGTGCTGAGTATAAAACTGTTTTAACTCCCTCTCCCAGAAACCATGTTGATGGAGATGTTTCCGTATAGCTTTGGTTATGACTTGGTAAATTGAAGAAGTTTAAATGTCCTTGAAACTTACATCTTTGAGCCCATTTAGGGATGGTCATTTTAGAAACCTTCCTCTAAGAAGAAAGAATTTTAAAGAAACTAACCTTAATATTTTTGAGGAACATTTTAGAGGGAATCAAATGTCCCACCATGTCTTTACTAAAAAGGATATTAGGGAAACTTGACATGAATTTTACCAATATAAAATGTAATAATTGGTTCTGAATAGTAGTAATACTTTAGCAATACTCAAAGTTTTCTATTTAGCTATACATCTCATTTCTGCTATAAGAGCTATCAACAATGGTCTGCCACCACACAATAAATTGTTCACATGAATAGGAATCATGGTATAGGATAGATATAGACATATGGGAAGGAGGGGTAATATAGGGAAATAGGTTTCATATAATGACTTAAGTGTCAAGCAGAGAGGTAAGTCTTTCCTTTATAATTAACTTTAACAGACCTTTCATAAAAGAGAACAGGATATTTTCCAATCTTTGAAATAGTTTGGGATCAGTTAAAGATCCAAACTTGTAGTGGCTCATACCTGTAAT